AATCCTTTAGGTGGTAACTTGTTTGTGTGCAAGCAGTATTTAGCAAACAAAACAGTAAAATCGGGCTTTTTGACCATTTCCTATGAGCTTTGATTCTTTCTCTCATTATCAATATTTTTCCTAATATAGTTCGTTTTTCTTTGTCATTTCAATTGAAAAGTTTATCATTTTAGCATTTGGGAAAGATTTAAAATTAAAAGCTGGCAAAATGATGAATGTCTTAGTATGTATATAATAAAAACAATACCACATGGAAAGTGCTTTGTACGGTATGTACGCACTTTTTGTTCTTGTATCAGAAATGAACGAGTGAGGGCAGCGAACGAGGGAGATCTCTTATACGTCAACAACTCGTGCGTAAATACCGTACGCGCGCACTTCCCATGAAGAATTCTGGATGTATTAATGAAGGAAACCAGTGAACCAGTGCTCAAAAAGAAATACAGTCCAAATTAACTGAGAGGATTCCCAGTTTAGTCTTTAAACCAACTTTTGCTATATTCGCGTACAAAACTTAACTGAAAACGAACTTTCTTCCGGATTGAAAATCGCAAATCTTGTAATCTGGGTGGAGTGGGTTCTGTGTATCTGGTCTGGCGCGAAAACAACTCGAGTCAAGATACACCTTAGGCCGAGCTGTTCGATTTTTAATGCGAATGCAGTACGAACACCACTCTGGAACGAAACTCATTCCGCAATGAAAGTCAATCTTGTGTCGTATCAACAGCCCATTAAACAAAAAAGGAAAAAAGAAACTGAAGGCCGGCGTTTTCTGGTGGATCCCAGACTCTAGATTAAAATATATGTGCAGGTCCCGGGTGCTCTTTATGAAATAAAATGTATGCATGTTCAATTAAAAACACTCTGAGTTGTAATAAATGAAAACAGGGCAATTCCACTTTAATAGTTTATCAACTTCACAAACAAAATAATTATTGACTATTCAAAGTAGACTAACAAAGCAATCATAACGTAAAAATTTGTTGCGGAGGAAATTATATTGTGGCACTAAACTGAAAGGACTTTAATTTTGAAAGGGTGTTCTGTTAAGTAATATGACGATTGGCCCGTGACCAGTAACTTCAATTTCATACAACGTGTCAAAGGAGAAAAAACTCGACATGTAGTTGATCCCTAAAATCCTAGCGAGCGGCTATGATAAGTAAATAAACAGCAGGAACAAAAAAATGAGTAAATAAATAACAGTACGTGGATGAAGATCCTGCTGGTTGTCAAAGTTGGATCTAAAGAAAAGAGATCTAATCAGCTAAAATATATTCAGGGCAAAATAAAAACAAAACAAAGAGAAGTCCAAAGACTATAGCAAAGCTGATAACAACGTGTACCATACCAGCCTTCTTCAGGTTTACAGAATCAAATGGTCTGGTAAGGAACTCTTAAACAAGAGGGAGGGGCTACCCAGGGGACGAATTATCTGTTGCGCACTGTTAATGAGTTTTCCGTGCCAGCTTATTTCTTTTGAAATAATCAAAAACAACAGATGTGTATAGTTGTGACGATCTAGCGGTCGCGTCTTGGTCGGTTTTCGTACAAAGCGTTCCACTTGCTGTCAGAATTGTGCGCTTAAGATTACATAACCAGTTTTCTTGAGGTATGTTTTCACTCAGGTTTTTTCACTTAACTAAGTTGCGTAATGAGCTTTTGATATTTTTTTCGGCTCGACCAAGATAATGAAGAACTGAAAAAGTGACGATGGCCCGATGAATCAATTTTTGCAAGTCCTTTCTTTACGAACTGTTCAATAACTTTCCATTATGCGTTGTTGTCGGAGTGCTCTGCACGATCATACAAAGCTAGCGAAGGAAGACGACTAGTATAATACGGTGTGAAGGTAATTTTGTTCTCATTTCAGTTTTCATTTCCGGTTTTTTCTTTTCCCATCGTCTTTAAAAAATTATGTTCTTAAAGTGATTGTTACTGCGTCGATTATTTTATTTGTTTTGACTTTTTAGCTACTTGTTTACAAAACAAAGCACTCGCACGCAGTCGGCTTCTTCTACCGATCACGAAATATTTCAGCTCCATTTGTTAATTGGCATAATTTCGCACAGAGTTCGATTCCTCATTATGAAGAGAAAAATTGTTGGTAAATGTTGAAGTGAGTCACTGAGAGAGATCGCTCTCGTAAGCCGCCAGTATAACAATTATACACATGTACGTGATCGCAGAAAAGAGAATTGTCACAATTTGCAGATACTGATGACAAGGGTTAGAGTTGACTTAAACTTAAATTATCAGAAGGCTGTTTAAATTGTAGCATCGTTAATAGCTATAGCGCCCTAAGATGACTTTTATTACACCTGGGCCATTATCACAAAGACGATCTGAAGTGTTTATAAATAGAAAAAACAAACTTTCTTCCGTTCAATTAGTCGGAATAAAAGCTCGCATTATGGAGCGTATAATTTCCGTATCAAATAAAAACTAGAGAATTCAGTGTGATGAAGTTGCCATCGAAATATGTTACTGTTACTGAAACTACTGCTATGTAAGGTAAGTAGAGCAGTGTGAAAAGGAAAAATGAAGTTGCGGCTTTCGGGATTTCAGAAAAGTCAATGCAAAAAATTTTAAACGTAAGTTATTTCACTTCAAGCATTTACAAATATGCAATACAAAAATACTAAGCCAAACATTCCAGTTGGAATGAGCAAGAATTAATCTTTAAGTGATTCTGATTGAAGAAGGGGGTCACCCATGTCAATCCATCTTCTTTGTCTCCGTGTTGCCTCATTCTTTTTAATTATTCCTTAGGAAATTTTCCTGTAATATTCATCGTTGAAAAAGGCAGCTGATGAAAGCAACTTTTCAGAAACAACCAATAACAGAGCGTCTTCCTTCCAGCACCTGCCGATTAGCATAAGACCTGAGGACTCTGAATACTGGATCATTACGAAACTAGCGCCCTTCCGAAGGACTTTAATTCAAGAGAGGCAGTTATTTAAATGTTTGAAGGTAAAATGTTTACCTTAAAACGTTTTGTTTACGAAACGAATGTTTTCTAGCTAAATTAGCATAGTTGGAGGAAACAAAATCAGTCAATCGTTGTTTGTTTGTTGGGTTGGAGGGGATGGAGGGGTGTTTTCGCGTTCATAGGAACGTTTACTGTCAGTCACTGTCAGTTTCAATTGGTTGATGGACTTAAGTCAATCAGCTTGACAGAATTAGCGTGTGGCATGAAATGTTCACGGCAGTTCATTCACCGCTGGCAAAGTATGCTTCCCAGCTAGAAAGCTATTGTAGTTAAACAAATTCTACGTTGTATGTTAAATATCAGAAATGTCACTCGTTCGCTGCCCTCACTCGTGAGGCTACATTCATTATGTATACTGCAGAGGGGTGGGGGGTAGAAGATGTTGTTTAAAGGGGCACACACACACAAATAAAAACTAGATAATTCAGTGTGATGAAGTTGCCATCGAAATATGTTACTGTCACTGAAACTACTGCTATCTAAGGTAAGTAGAGCAGTGTGAAAAGGAAAAATGACACACACACACACACACACAAACACACACACCCCACAGCATACATAACTTTTTTCACAAGCCCCCTTTCCCCCTCTTCACCAAAAGAAAAAATCACACTTTACACTTTACATTGAGCGAAATACAAATCTCTCGAAAAGAGGAGATGGAGCTTGATTCACCACTTCCAATTATTTAGGCCAAATTACCAGCTCGAACATTACATCAACAAGAGAAAAAATATAAAAATATGAATATAAATAAACTTGTTATGCATGACGGGTCACAACTTACCTTAATAGTTCAAGTTTATTTTCCTTTTACCAGGGAATGGTAAGGACTATGAAAATGAGTTTTTACAAAAGAAAAATAAGCTGAGTTCAGTACCACTTTGCCTACTCCACAGATAGCTTCAGGTTCCGTACTGAAAACTATGTGATCTTTTAACTCAAAGAAGCAATGACTTTCACAAACAGCTACCGATTGTGGCTTATTAGAAGGAATGCTTTCTACAGACGTTGTATTGCTTGTTCATAATCCATAAATGACACTGCAATAGTAAGAAATTTCTTTTCTAAGAAATTCGGTCCTTTATGTAAATCAAAGAAGCTTTCTAAAACTTTGAAGCCAACTTGACGGGAATTTGATATGATCACTGTTGATTATAGAACCGTGCTCGACCTGTAGTCAAGTGTATCATTCAGATCAGTTGCAGCATAACTGCAGAACCAACATACTGATCATTTACATGCCTTAAAAAGTAGTGGGGTTAGGGACCGAATTATCCTTTTTTGTGGATTTAATTTTAACTTTTTGAGTGGTATAAATTAACGCCGATGACGTCATGCATCTCCTTAAGATGGGAAGATCTCATAGATTCTTTATAGTTGGCAAGGAGCAAGTGACGTCAGAATATCCTAGGGGTCTACGTCATCAAAAACGATGAGATCATAATCTATAAATAGAAAAGTAATATCATGTCTCTACTTGGTCATGATGGTGTGATAATTTATTCAGGTATGATGATGCCATAGTTAATTTTATCGGTTGCAATGATCTATTTATGTGTTTAAAATAAAACCACGAAAAATTAGAAATCTTTCTTGCAATGGTTTTGCTATGAAAATTATTTGTTCCAGTTCGCTATACTGTCTAAAAAATAGAGTACAAACAAAACTCAGACACAAAATGGAGCTTAAACTCGTTATTTCAATCTTGATTGGCCATTAACAAAACCGTTCTCTCTAGTCACAGCGTTTGGTGAGCATCTGATACTCTCGCAATTTAGTATAAATCCATCACACTTTGTAATTCCTTTAATTTTTGCAATTTGTAATAAACCGAGTCGAGCTTTTAGTAATAAAGCTGTCGCAATTTGTAATGAAGCTTAATGAGTGTCTTAACTAACAAAGTAAATTATTGTATTAAAAAAGTGGGAAGTTGTCTTTCACCAAGTTGATATTCCTTGTAAATTTCCAGGTCTGGTTTGCGTTGTGGTAAGCAACTCGAAGACGAATGGAAACCAATACTAATGACACTTCAACCTCTGCTCCCCTCTCAGCACCAGCCTGCATTCCATGGGTTGTTTTAATGACCACTGAATCTCTATTCATCGTCATTTTCAATCTCTTCACGATCATTGTATTTGCAAGGCATCGTCAGCTTCATCGCCGGCGCGCATACCTGCTCATACGGAACCTGGCGATTATTGACCTGTTGGTTGGGGGAATTTCCGGTCCTCTGCAAATTGAGTGGAACGTGGGAGATTCTTGTGATCTATGGATGTACAACAGGATGATTGATTCATGGTTTTTTGTTTTAAAGGTTTCAATGCTCCATTTATTTTCCATGGCTTCCCTTTGTAATCTTGCGGCCATTTCGTTAGAGCGAATGCACGCAATAATTTGTCCCTCCAGGCATCTTTTCATGGAGAAAATGGTTTATAAAGTAATAATCGCTGTAATTTGGCTAATAGCTATTCTTAGAGAATGCGCACAAATTGTCTTTATTAAAGTAACTACTCCTGGTCGTAAAACTGAAATACTAATGAATTTCACCATTTATATCCCGTATTATTTTATTTCTCTTCTTATTATTTGCGTATCTTATACTATTATTTTCATGAAGATCCGATACAGCTATCCGCCACAGCCTCTACGTAGCAGTGTGATAATCAAAGAACGACAACTAACTAAAACCCTCTTTGTGGTCACAGTGACATCTTTATTAACATTGCTGCCAGTGATAATTTTTTTGGGTTTGGAAACTTTCACCCACGATCCAGTGATAGATCGGTCTTCGAGTTTATACGGTCACATAAAATTTGCTGTCACCGTGTTTTTCCTGGCTAACTCATTAGCCAATCCAATTATATACGCAATGAGGATGCAGAAGTTTCGTTTGGGGTTAAAAGAATTATTCGGCAGGGATTCAAACTATGAAGTCGTTTTGCCTTTTCATCAGAAGTAGTTTAGAAACCAGTTGTGGCAGGGAAGAATTTTTGAAAAGATAATAACATGCAGGAAGAGAATTTTAAATTTTAACACATTTTACCTGAAGGTTGATTGCAATCGTTGATATTTGTACGACACCAAACTGTGCTCGGCGCAGGGGCACCCAACGGCAATTTTCGGGAAAATATCTGTTCGGAAGACTTGACTTGATTTGAGATCTAGAATTTTCGGAGCATTTGTTGTAAAATTTCTTGCTTGCCTGCCTCTCCTAGGATTTTCGAACACCTACAAAATGGTATAATTACTCATTTTTAACGGATTTTTGCCCTAAAAAAGGCCACCTAGAATTTTCGGGAGCCTTTTGGGGGCTGAAATTTTCGAGAAGGTAAGTTTTTATCCCTATAATTTTCGGATCACTGGATTTTCAGCTAGGAAATCCGAACAGATGAAAAGTTTTTAGGGGATAAAAATATGCCTATATCTACCGTTTGAATACTAAAATACGTCCAACAATGCGATGTTAAGTGGTTTTGAACTATATCCTCGTTGGGTGCCCCTGTCGACGACTATTTTGCTGCATCAGAGGTCCGCATGATAAAACACTTGTAGTATGATTACTTGCAAAAAATGATAAAAGTTTGATAAAATTTGATAAAGTTCAGTATAAAATAATTCAAAACGGTAACCTTGTTTGAAAACCTTAAGATTTTTTAACACAAATTAAAATACCGTATTCCCTCCAATAAGCGCCCGACCGCTTTAAGAAGATTCCCACTAAAGGGAGGGGAGTATTTGAACGAGAGCGCCGCGAGTGGGTATGGGCGCTTAGTGGATGAGTTGTTCATGGGAAGAACAGATAGCGCACATGGTAACTATGCAAGCATATAGAGATAGGAATAACTGGAAGTAACTGAACGGAAAAGAAACTACACTCCTGTACTGATTCCGCTGTCGTTGAAGTTTAAAAAATATAAATAGAGTGTAAATAAAGTTTAACTGAACAGAAAGGTTTTGTTAATCGTTTGTCTCTCGATGGTCTCTTAGGGCGCTTATCATTATACACTTAATGTCAGATCCCGAGGGAGACAGTTAGTTTTGTTTTCCCAAGAGTCCTGATGTTTCCCGAGACGAAGTCGAGGGAAACATCAGGACTCGAGGGAAAACAAAACTAACTGTTTTCCCGAGGGACCTGACATTAAGTGTTTTGTTATATTCTAGACTTTCACTTCAACGTACTTCAACAGCAGCAAAATAATGCGCTTAAGAGGAGTGAATCAAAACAGTACGACTCGGTACTTATAAGAACACAAATTTAATTCTCAAAACCACTGCATGAATGATTTAAAAAGTACTTTCCTTATATTATCTGCATCTTCCTCCACCAGCTGCTGTTTCTCTTCTGGGATAACTTTGAAAATCGTTGCTTTTTAGCTTGAGGCTTCATGTTTGTGTTGTTGTGAATGTTGTTGCGTTCATTCACGTAACAGAAAACTGGCAGTGTTTTTCCCGCCTTCTGTCACGCCACTTTCCACCATGCTCTGATCAGATGCTGTAATGTATCCTGAGCGGGGTACATTGCTTGATGTATCACGATCGGGATACATTTGATTTTAGTCAAGGCCGGCCCACGTGACCAAGAATCAGCCAATGGCTGTCCCTGTTTAGTTGAGTGAAAGTCTAGGAATATAACAATGTCATGTAGCAGCTCTCATAACCCTAACAGCCAATTGGTTCGATAACCTAGCCGTGAAACAACGGGAAGATAATAAACAATGATGTGTTATTGTTTTCTGTGACCAATGAGGAAACACCTTACTAGCTGCTCCTATATTACTTGGGTTCCTACATTACTGATCATTGGTCGGAACATGCCCGGTAGCTGACCAGTTTTGAACTGGACGAAAAGAGAATTTCACTCCAAAGAATAGACTAGCCTGGATTACAAGTCAAGCCAAAAAATATAGTACGTAGTAGTTCACGCAGCTTCTTTTCAATCCGAGACTCTTCTCAAAGATGTCTGAAAGGCTTGTCGGCGCCGATTGTGTAATTAAACAACGGCTTGATAGCGTCTTTGACACTTAAATGACAAAATTTTTACATGCTATGTATAGTAATCGAAAGTGCAGGAAAACACCTTGACGAACTTGCTGATAATGCTTATCATGAAGTGCATGTGGCTAATATATATAACTAGTTTTTGACGGTTCCTGAATTCTGACAGTTCGATAAATCGAATGTAAATTCTCATTGTACATTTTTTTCAATCTCCCTGAAAGGGTAAAGAGGGACATCGTGGCCTTCGAGTGATGAGCTCATTGTTTACATCACTTATCCGAATCGTCGCACACTGGAAAACGTGTTGTACTTTGTAATAAAATAGGCTTACACTTTGGTATCACCGCTCCTTTTTTATGAACTTGCAATTGTTAATTAAGTCAAATCATTTTGATAAACATAATAGTTTCAAAGTTCCAACGTGGAAGGGTTTGCGATTCCCATAGTTTACCGAGGGTGACGACGGATCAAGGAATTGTCGTTCCTGGGAAGGGAAGATTCGCATTAAAAAAATAAGCCTCCCGCGCAGACATTCTTCTTATTATTATCATTATTCTTTCACAGAAAAATATTTGATTCAGAAATTGTCCTATTTTCTTTCTTTTTCAATCATGATCGCTTTGTTTTATATGTTTTAGGCAAAGATAGCGAATTTTTGAATATTAGCGAGGCTTTGTGTGGCAAGCAAAGAGGAGTGTCCACAAGGTTTATTCTTCTAACAAGTAGATTTGGTCTTATAATCTTAATCTATTACAACATTGATATGGATCAGGTGCCATTTTCGAAAAAATTATCCATCCATCTAAAATTATCCATCTAAAATCCATCTACGCTAATCACTCTCGCAGCGGGGTTGTTAAATTCGAATTGTACACAACTTAAACTTCAGAGGTGCTATAATGTAATTTTAAAAGTGTAAGACGATTGTGGCCCCAGAAAATTGAGGTAAAAAAATCATTCTTAAAAAGTATTGTAAACGGGTCGGCGACTAGAATCGAAGCTCGCAGCAATTAAATTTTCCGAACTTCCCACCCACATCACAAACGTCTGTAAAATTCTGCGACTTTTCCATCGGTGCTATCTATTAACCTTCCAACATCAGGGGCACCCAACGTCAATTTTCGCAAAATATCTGTTCGGAAGACGATTTAAGATCTAGAATTTTCGGAACATTTGTTGTAAAATTTCTCGCCTGCCTGCTTCTCCTAGGATTTTCGAACATCTAAAAAATTGTATAATTGCCCATTTTTAACGGATTTTTACCCTAAAAAGGTCATCTAGAATTTTCGGGAGCCTCTTTTCTGGCTGAATTTTCGAAAAGGTAAGTTTTGATCCCTATAAATTTCGGATCACTAGACTTTCAGCTAAAAAAACCGAACAGATGAAAAATTTTTAGGAGATAAAAATATGCCTATATCTATCGTTTAAATACTAAAATACGTTTAACAATGCTATGTTTAAGTGGTTTTGAACTAATTCTCGTTGGGTGCCCCCGCAACATGACAACTTTACTCAAGGCTTTTTTCTAGCTTTGTTGCCCTTTTTTCGCTGAGCTGATCTCAATCAAAAGTTGAAAAAAACTGTGGAGTGATTGTTACTGAAAAATCTCCGTGGGAGCTGTCCAAAAAATAATCTAATAACATCTTATATCCTTTTTTTTTTCTTTTTTTAATCTCTATTTTATAATGGTGACATGTCTCACCGAAACGTCATAAGTGCGGAAGGCGGAGTGAGTTTTGTTAGCGTTGCATTTATTTAATTTAAATAGCAGGCCAAAGTTTTGTCTCCCAGTTCGAATTACCAAGGTTATTCTTTAAATGATTTGAATTCTGGATTTCAGCCACATCAACCCGGCCGCTTCATCCCTTTGTTGTCCCTGTATCTGGTAGAAAGACACTCCGCTGTTGAAATTAAGTGACTTTTCAGGGACAAACAATTAATAGCGCACAAGTTTCTGCCCTCCCTTACTAGCGTCTTCCTCTGTGCACCTGCCGGCAAGAAAGCGTGAGGAGCTCAGATCTACCTTCTGCATAACAAATTTTAACAGCGCCCTTCCGAGGCTCGACTTAAATTCAGGAGAGGCAGTTGTTTGAAGGTAAAATGTTTAAATCATAACGTGCCCAAAAGGGAATCAGTTTTTTTACCAATCGAATGTTGAGCTAGTTTAGAATGGTTCAGAGTCGATTCAGAGGAAAGGATGATTGTGTCTATTGCGATCAACCGTTCTTGGTGCATGTTTGTTTGTTTGTTTGGCTGGTGGGGTGTTCTTGTGTTCGGTTGGGAACTTTTACTGTCTGAGTTCTTATTCAACCATCTTGACCGGACTGCGTGTGTACTGCCAGTAAAGCATGAATATACGCGGCAGTTTATGGCTGGGAAAACACTTTCGCAGCTATATACCAAATAATATTTTACCCTATTTTGTAATTTTTTTTCTTTATATTTTTTGTAGTTTGTTAGTTCCCTCGTTTAGTTTGTCAAAAGCTAAATACCCACGCACAAATAACGTCCTACACTATAACTACTACTACTACCCGGCTGCGATAGGAAAGAAGCTACAAACCAATGAAAAACTAAAACACTAGTAATGAAATCCAAACAGGAACTCCCTTGACAGGAATAATAATTCCGGGTGGGACAAAATTTCCTTATGACTTACCTGTAAATTTTCAGCCATACATTTCAAAATTACGACCGCGACCAAAGATTACAACGTTGTTTATGAAGAGCCAAAAAACTTTTGACATCCAGTTTTCAAAACAAATTCTTATAAATTTTAAAACGTTTTAAACGATCGTTAAATCTTTGTCTTACGGGCTCAACTTGTATCTTATGAACGAAAGGAATTTTGAGGCCTGTGTCAACGTACGCCCGTGCGCCCGTACTCCCGTGATGTATTAGCCATAGGGAAACTCAGTAAGGCCCAGACCTGGGGCTTGAATGATATTGACGCAAGAGAGATTGACGAAATTCAAGAGGCGAAACTGCAGCCTAAGGTAAAGTTCTGGTTTATAAATATATAAAGCAGATAATTCAAGAAAAATCATGGTACTACTACTTGTAATCCAGTACAGACACAAGAAACAGTGTACGAACTGTCAAGATCACAAAGAAATGAAGCGTCTTTTGAAGCAAAAACTAAAAGACCAACTACAAAGAACAAGCAAAACCGCAAGAAACAGAGGAAGTCGAACTGTTGGCTGAGGCTATAGGGATCTTTATAGGGAAATGGTGTAGACAAGGAAGGATTATTCATTGAGAACACACGTAATGCACAAAACTAGACTAGCTAACAGCTATTCTTAGAGAATGCGCACAAATTGTCTTTATTAAAGTAACTACTCCTGGTTGTAAAACTGAAAGACTAATGAATTTCACCATTTATATCCCGTATTATTTTATTTCTCTTCTTATTATTTTCGTATCTTATACTATTATTTTCATGAAGATCCGATACAGCTCTCCGCCACAGCCTCTACGTAGCAGTGTGATAATCAAAGAACGACAACTAACTAAAACCCTCTTTGTGGTCACAGTGACATCTTTATTAACATTGCTGCCAGTGATAATTTTTTTGGGTTTGGAAACTTTCACCCACGATCCAGTGATAGATCGTCTTCGAGTTTATACGGTCACATAAAATTTGCTGTCACCGTGTTTTTCCTGGCTAACTCATTAGCCAATCCAATTATATACGCAATGAGGATGCAGAGGTTTCGTTGGGGTTAAAAGAATTATTCGGCAGGGATTCAAAGTATGAAGTCGCTTTGCCTATGAAGTAGCTTGGAAACCAGTTGTGGCAAGGAAGAATTTTTTAAAAGATATAACATGCAGGAAGAAGATTTTAAATTTTAACAAATTGTTTGAAATTTAATTGGGATCAGTGATATTTGTACGACACCAAACTGTGCTCGATTACTAGTTTGCTGTTTCAGAGCAACCTCGTCCCCAGGGCTTTTCCCTTAAAAAATGGGTAAACAGAGTACATAAAAACCCATAAAACGGCAATAAATCGACCCGTGGACCACACAGTAGAGACGTAACACACATCTTAAGTAAGGTAAGCTGTTTTTTATTGAAATCCTTTCATTTTCGTAGGTTACAGAAACGATAGGTTTTTTTCCCATACAAATCCTTATATTTTGAATGTTACGCAACAATGCCGATGCTCGCCGATGCTCATATTTCGAGCTTGGGCTACCTGTGCTGGGAAGGGAAGATTCGTATTAAAAAAAATAATCCTCCCGCGCAGACATTATCCTTATTATTATCATTATTCTTTCACCGAAAAATATTTCTGATTCAGAAATTGTCCTATTTTCTTTCTTTTTCAGTTATGATCGCTTTGTTTTATATGTCTAAGGCAAAGATAGCGAATTTTTGGATATTAGCGAGGCTTTGTGTGGCATAGCCTTCCCCGCAGACGTTCTTAGGGGGTTTGCAGGAACGCGTGACGAACCCCTAAGAGCGTCTCCGTGGGAGGCTATGTGTGGCAAGCAAAGAGGAGTGTCCACAAGTAGATTTGGTCTTATAAGGGACGGACCATTAGAAAACTTATGGGGGGGCGGTGGGGAGGCGGGCGAAGTACTGGAAAAAATATTCGCCCAAGGGAAAATGAAATGAAAAAAAATTCATGCACGCCAATTAACCCTAAAAAATGTTCATGCTATAGACTAAAAACAATTCATACAAGGAATTTGATAACGAAAAAAAATTCTTGCGGCTCGAAAATTCCCCTCCCCCCCCCCCTCTCCCCCCATAACTTTTCTAATGGTCCGTCCCTAATCTTACTATGATCTATTACAACATTGATCTTGATCAGGTGCCATTTTCGCAAAATTATCCTTCAAATGCATATATGCTAATCACTCTCGCAGGGTGCTGTTGAATTCGAATTTTACACAACTTAATCTTCAGAGATGCTATTATAATAATATAATTTTAAAAGTGTAAGACGGTTGTGTCCCCAGAAAACTGAGGTAAAAAAACTCATTCTTAAAAGTCTTGTAAGCGGGTCGGCGACTAGAATCGAAGTTCGCAGCAATTAAATATTCCGAACTTGCCTCCCTCTACACAAACGTCTGTAAAATTCTGCGACTTTTCCGTCGGTGTCATATATTAACCTTCCAACATGGCAACTTTACTCAAGACTTTGTTCCAGCTTTGTTGACCTATTTTCACTGAGCTGATCTCAGTCAAAGGTTGAAAAAAACTGTGGCAGGATTGTCACTGAAAAATCTCCGTAGGGAGCAGTCAAAAAAAAATAATCTAATAATATCTTACATCCTTTTTTATTACTATTATTCTATTTGATAATGGTGACATGTCTCACCGAAACGTCATAAGTGCGGGGGGCGGAGTGAGTTTTATTAGCGTTGCATTTATAAATATGCAGTTGCTATACAATTTAAATAGCAAGCCAAACGTTTCTCTCCCAGTTCGAATTACCGAGGCTATTCTTTAAATGATTTGAATTCTGGATTTTGAATTCAGCCATATCAACCCGGCCTCTTCATCCCTTTGTTGTCCCTGTATCTGGTGGAAAGACACTCCGCTGTTGAAATTAAGTAACTCTTCAGGCGCAAACAATTAATAGCGCACAAGTTTCTGCCCTCCCTTACAAGCGTCTTCCTCTGTGCACCTGCCGGCCAGAAAGCGTGAGGAGCTCAGATCTGCCTTCTGCATCATAACAAATTTTAACAGCGCCCTTCCGAAGCTCGAATTGAGATCAGGAGAGGTAGTTGTTTGAAGGTAAAATGTTTATCATAATCCATAACGTGCCAAAAAGGGAATCAGTTTTTTCCCAAGCGAATGTTGAGCTAATTTAGAATGGTTCAGAGTCGATTCAGAAAAAAGGATGATTGTGTCTATTGCGATCAACCGTTCTTTGTGCATTTTTGTTTGTTTGTTTGGCTGGTGGGGTGTTCTTGTGATCCGTTGAGAACTTTTATTGTCTGAGTTCTTTTCCAACCATCTTGACCGAACCGCGTGCACTGTTTACTGCCAGTAAAGCATGAAATATACGCGGCAGTTTATGGCTGGGAAAACACTTTCGCAGCTACCAAATAATATTTTACCCTATTTTGTAATTTTTTTTCTTTACAGGGTGTCCCAAAAGTTCGTTCCTCTATTTTCATTGATATGTTTGCTCCGAAATGGGCACGCGGGCCCCATAATTTAGCACGTTTTCCCTCCTGGGACCTTGCATTACCCCTGGGTATTGAGCGTGGTATTTAAATGCTTTGTCAACATCAGGATCACTGATCAGATGGCTTTTCTATGCGTTCATGCCCCGAGAGGGCATACATACTTGCGTTTTTTGCCCCCCCTCCCCTCAGAGACGAAAACCCGGTTATGCTGCACTTCTTCGCATACGCGGAAATTATTTTCGCCCATATCTTAGTATTCCCCGCGTGTGCCATAGAGGTGCCGCATATCGATGAAAATTCTCCTACTAATTTCATGCACTATAACTTTTGATCAAAACTATGCTTTTACATGAAATTACTAGATGTTTATTTCTCTATCAAGTACATGTATTCAGAATTTCAGTAACTTGCATGCCCTTTTTGTTTTTTTTATCCCATTCCGTAGCCGTCGCGGCATGAAGTGGGATACAGCGTGTAGACCCAAAAATGATCCATTTTGAGCTTTTTTATCACCTGGTGCGCAGCTGATCCATTCAACCCCAAACAATATTTGTTTAGTTTATACGCAGCTGAAAAAAAATATATTGGGCATTCATCCAAAAAAGAATAATCTTCCTGGCCCTCTTCCACAGCAACGCTTTTGTAATTCTTTACAAATTTGAAACGAGCCGGGCGTTAATTGACAGACTAAGCAGAGGTTTATTTGCTATCTCAGGGGCCTCTAAGACCCTTTTATTTGGCTTGCTAACTATGTGAGACTAAGCTTCCTTGTCGAGTCTCCTATTTTGTATCTAGCCTTCTTTCAACATTTTAACTGCTTTATTAAGGGCTTTTAGTATTCCCCTTAGTTTCTTACCATCAAAACCTTCATTTCTCCATGATCATTATACCACCCAACATTCGGATTTTTCCAGTTTTTTACTGGGGGAGCAATTTCTACAACAGATAAGCCAGTAAATCGAAAGGCTTATCAAGTCTCACGCAGCTGAACGTTCTTTTTGCGTTAAGGGGGTTTGTCTTTCATGATATTCACAAAAAACAAGGAAAGAGTTCGAGCAATTCGGGCTATGAAATACAAAAAATATGTGGCTGGGAAATACACTCGCGCACGCGCACCTTTGGCGCGGAAGCAAACAAATCGAATATTCACAACAAGTGACAAATTAGTGAATTATAACAAATTAGTGAATTATATTGAAAGACACAACTTTTGTTTCAATGATTTGCTTACCAAGTCCAATCGTAATGAAATACAGACTTATAAAGTAGAGGAACGAACTTTTGGGACACCCTATATATTTTTTGTAGTTTCACTTTGTTAGTTCCCTCGTTTAGTTTGTCAAAAGCTAAATACCCACGCACAAATATAGTCGCACACTATAAGCACTACTACTACCCGGCTGCGATCGGCAAGAAGCCACATACCAATGAAAAACTAAAACACTAGTGATAAAATCCAAACAGGAACTTCCTTGACAGGACAAAATTTTCTTACGACTTACCTGCAAATTTTCAGCCATACATTTCAAAATTACAACGACCACCAAAGATTTCAAGGATGTTTATGAAGAGCCAAAAAACTTTTGACATCCAGTTTTCAAAACACATTCTTATAAATTTTAAAATGTTTTAAACTATCGTTAAATCTTTGTCTTACGGGCTCAACTTTTATCTTATGAACGAAATTAAGGAATTTTGAGGCCTGTGTCAACGTATGCCCGTGCGCCCGTGATGTATAAGCCATAGGGAAACTCAGTAAGGCCCAGTCCTGGGTCTTGAATTATATTGACGAAATTCAAGAGGCGAAACTACAACGTAAAGGTAAAATTGTAGTTTACGAATATAAAGCAGATAATTCAAGAAAAATCATGGTACAACTACTTTCAATCCAGTACAGACACAAGAAACGGTGTACGAACTGTCAAGATCACGAAGAAATGAAGCGTCTTTTGAAACAAAAACTAAAAGATCAACTACAAAGAACAAGCAAAACCGCAAGAAACAAAGGAAGTCGAAGTGTTGGTTGAGGCTATAGGGATCTTAGATCTATAGGGAAATGGTGTAGACAAGGACGGATCATCTATTAAGAACACACGTAATGCACGAAAAAGCGAATAGGTCAGATGCTCACCAAACGCTTGAACTAGAGCCGGAACGGTTTTGTTAATAGCCAGTCAAGATTGAAAGAGTTTAACCTCTATTTTGTGTCTGAGCATTGTTTATATTCGATTTTTTAGTCAGTATAGCGAACTGGAGCAAATAATTTTCATGGCAAAGCGATTGCAAGAAAGATATCGCGTTCGTAATTTGCGCGCTTTTATTTTGAACACATAAGAGATTCTACAATCATAACCAAATAAGAACATGATTATTGCAAATAAAAATTAACTATGGCATCATCATACCTGAATAAATTATGACATAATTATGACCAAGTAGGGACATGATATCACTTTTCTATTCATAGATTATGATCTCAACATTTTTTGATGACGTAGACCCTAGGGTACTCTGACGTCATTTGCTTCTTGCCAACTGAAAATAAAATATGACATCGTCCTATCTTAATGAGATGTATGACGTCATCAGCGTTAATTTATACCACTCAAAAACTTAATCAAATCCAAAAAAAGATAATTCGGTCCCTACCCCACTGCTTTCTAAGATTTGAAAGTTAATTTAAATCTTGCGAGGATAGAAGCTAAAGACTTAATAAGAATTTTACAAGCTTTGAAAGTCAGAATGGTGGCTTAATTTTGATGATGATGATAATATGATAATAATGATAATGATGATGATGGTAATGAGAATAAAAACATCTGTGACGTTATTAATAAAAACAGGATAAAATTAAAATTAATCCCCCTTCCTGCCTTGTTCGCTACCACAATAATCTGCTGCCTCTACTCTTCCGCAATCTGTTTATGACAAACAGTCAATTAAGTCCATAGATATCTAGATATGACACAAGAACAGCTAGTAATTATCGAGTGCATTCCTGTCGGACGAACATCAAGAAATTCACAATTCTTTACTAAGGACCTAGAATCTGAAACTGTCTTCCTGCATCCGTTACAAACTTGTCAAGCTTTTCTATCTTTAAAAACAAAGTGCTAGAGTTTTTATTAAAATAGTTATTAAACTAGAAATATGTATATCGCAGAACCTCGCGAAGCTCCGGGCGGGGGAGAGCCCATAAGGGGTGGGAGGACAGAAGAGAAATAAAGTAAATCATGTAACTGGGGAGAGCGGGTTTAATATTGAAAGCTGAGATGTACTTTTCAAAAATTTGAACCCAGTGCTCTGACTTTAAAAAGGATCTTCTGAGATTTAAATGGGGTTGCTGTTGTTAGCTAATGCTGCATAGGTCCCATCCCGTGTTCACCCCATTTGACCCTCCTACATGTGTAATTATGGTCAAAAGGAAATGGAGGAATTAGTTTAGCCGCAGTTCTTCGCAGCCCTTATTTCTTATAATATTGTGATGTCGAGGTGGCCTCTCTATATAAGCCTGGTGGTTTCTTGAGGTCTCCTCGCCTAACAGCCTGCTGTATCCTGTAAAATTTGCTGTAAAAAAAGGCTAATAAAATGATGATGAACCGTGGTAATGATTATGAAGATAGACTTGGTTACCGCACAAAGTAAAGGACATTGCCGTTTGGTGCTTTTAAAATAAAAACATCCCTCACTGAACTAGAAAATAAGGAACTTTACTTACGTAGGGTTTATTATTGATTTTACAAATACTTTACCTTTCAGTGGCATCTAGAAAAAATTGGCATCTCCTTCCTGCCTTCAGAAATTTTTACCGTTCGGCCCTTTTCCCTTCTAAAAATTTTAAGACTGCCCATAAATCCTCTGGCCCTCAATGTGTCGCGAACGCTACACGTGATATATGAAAGAAAGCCACGTCGAAGTTAAGGATATGATCGACCTAATTTGGGATCAATTAAGAATAATCTAAACTGTTTGTTCTGAATATATTGCGATACCCTCGCAATTTAGTATAAATCCATTACACTTTGTAATACCTTTTGCAATTTGTAGTAAACCGAGTCGCAGACTAGTCGCGCTTTTAGTAATAAAGCTGTCGCAATTTGTAATGAAGCTTAATGAGTGTCTTATTTAACAAAGTAATTTATTTGTATTAAAAAAGTGGGAAGTTGCCTTTCACCAAGTTGTTATTCCTTGTGAATTTCCAGGTTTAGTTTGCGTTGAGCTAAGCAACTCGAAGACGAATGGAAATCAATACTAGTGACACTCCAACCTCTGCTCCCCTCTCAGCACCAGCCTGCATTCCATGGGTTGTTCTGATGACCACTGAATCTCTAATCATCGTCATTTTCAATCTCTTGACGATCATTGTATTTGCAAAGCAACGTCAGCTTCATCGCCGGCGCCCATACCTGCTCATACGGAACCTGGCGATCATTGACCTGTTGGTTGGGGGAATTTCCGGTCCTCTGCAAATTGAGTGGAACGTGGGAGATTCTTGTGATCTATGGATGTACAAAAGGATGATTGGTTCATGGTTTTTTCTTTTAAAAGTCTCATTGCTCCATTTATTTTCCATGGCTTCCCTTTGTAATCTTGCGGCCATTTCGTTAGAGCGAATGCACGCAATAATTTGTCCCTCCAAGCATCTTTTCATGAAGAAAATGGTTTATAAAGTAATAATTGCAGTAATTTGGCTAATAGCTATTCTTAGAGAATGCACACAAATTGTCTTTATTAAAGTAATTACTCGCGGTCGTAAAACTGAAATACTAATGAGTTTCACCATTTATATCCCGTATTATTTTATTTCTCTTCTTATTATTTGCGTATGTTATACTACTATTTTCATGAAGATCCGATGCAGCTCTCCGCCACAGCCTCTACGTAGCAGTGTGATAATCAAAGAACGACAACTAACTAAAACCCTCTTTGTGGTCACAGTGACATCTTTATTAACATTGCTGCCAGTGATAATTTTTTTGGGTTTGGAAACTTTCACCCACGATCCAGTGATAGATCGGTCTTCGAGTTTATACTGTCACATAAAATTTGCTGTCACCATGTTTTTCCTGGCTAACTCATTAGCCAATCCAATTATATACGCAATGAGAATGCAGAGGTTTCGTTGGGGGTTAAAAGAATTATTCGGCAGGGATTCAAACTATGAAGTCGCTTTGCCTTTTCATCAGAAGTAGTTTGGAAACTAGTTGTGGCAAGGTAGAATTTTTGAAAAGATAATAACATGCAGGAAGAGAATTTTAAATTTTAACACATTGCTTGAAAGTTGATTGCGATTTTTGATATTTGTACGACACCAAACTGTGCTTGACGACTATTTTGCTGTATCAGAGCTCTGCATGATAAGACACTTGATAACTTGCAAAAGTGTGATGAAATTTGATAAAGTTTAGTATAAATCCAAAACAATAACCTTAAGATTTTATGTAACTCAAATTAAAATACCGTATTCCGTCGAGTAAACGCCCAACCGCTTTAAGAAGATTTCCGCTAAAGGGAGGGGTGGTGGTTATTTGAAAGAGAGCGCCGCGACGGGGTAGGGGCGCTGAATGGACGAGCTTTTCATGGGAAGAACAGATCAAGATAGCGCACGTAAAGTGACTATGCAAGCGCCGGCATAGAGATAGGAATAACTGATAGTGACTAAACGGAAAAGAAACTACTCTCCTGTACTGATTCCGCTGTCGTTGAAGCTTAAAAAATACAAATAAAGTGTAAATAAAGTTTAACTGAACAGAAAACGTTTCGTTTATCGTTTGTCTCACGATGGTCTCTTAGGGCGCTTATCATTGTCATGTAGCAGCTCTCATAACCCTAACAGCCAATTGGTTCGATACCCTAGCCGTGAAACAACGGGAAATAATAATAAACAATGATGTGTTATTGTTTTCTTTGACCAATGAGGAAACACCTTACGAGTAGCTCCTATATTACTGAGGTTCCTACATTACTGATCATTAGTCGGAACATGCCCGGTAGCTGACCAGTTTTAAACTGAACGTAAAGAGAATTTCACTTCAATCAGAAAACTTAATCCGGCCAGGCGCGCGACTAGCCTGGATTAAAAACAGTTTATTGTTAAACTATATGCAAAGCAGTAATGGGATTTTGAGAACAAAAAAAAATTGAAAAAAACCGCATTTCATTTTCAAAAAGTGACTGATCTAGCTTGCCAGTGCTGATGTGTTTGGGAAGCGCCCTTAGTTTTTGATCGCGTCCTTTTGACACGTACACTTCAGCACAAACCCACA